ATGGATGTCTATTCTATTAACATTTCTACATCTGGAGAATGGGGCTGTTTGATGTCTTGTCCATTCAGAGGGGCCCCTGCCTGTCTTTGCCCAGGGCCCCACATTTCCTACATCCGCCCCTGCCTGCCTCTGCAGCATGCAGTGTTTTCTGGCTGTTAGAAAGCAGCAGCTGAGATCGATGTTCTGATGGGAACACGGCCGCTTTAACGCTGATCGTCCTGCATGAAGGCCTGCTGATGGACAGCCGACCTAAAGCTGCAGCTGATCTACCTGAGCAGCAGCAGGGGGGGTTCTGACCCCACCCGCCCCGCTTCACTCACCTGGGGGTTGTCCATGAACCACAGCAGGTTCCCCTGCTCCGTGTCCAGGATGAAGTAGCGGCGCAGGAACCTGCCGCTGTTCTCATTCTCCTCGATGTCCAGGAAGCCACAGATGCGGTTCTGTCGGTCCACGTACGGCATCACGACCCCGGCCAGCTCCGCCCACTCTGGGGCATCACAGGAACTCTGCAGAGGAGGAGGGAGAGGTTGGAGCGCAGACAGAACCGAGCCGCCCGCTGGCCACAGAAGCACGGCGGTGGGGGAGTCATTCCTATGTTGGATGGCAGTGTGTAATATTTTTATTTTTACCACATTAACTGTATAAAAAGTATTTTATGAATAAAGTTTTGATCATTTTGAGTCATGCTGGTTACTCCTGTCAGAGGGAGGAAACTTCAGAAACGTCTCCTCAGGCTATAAGGCAGAACTGCAGGGCATTCTGGGAGATGTAGGCGGGGAAGCCTCTCAGCAGAGCTGAGGAATGTTGGTGTGCAGCTGAGCTCTTTTAAAAGTTTAATCTTTTTCTCCATCCTTATTCTAAATATAGAAACAGATCAGTGATGGAGTGATGGTGAAGCATCGTCACTGGGTTCATCTTTAACTTTACGCTGAGTGGTTTCTGTTCTCTGCTGCTGACCTGCTTTAACATTAAACTAGTGTTTCTGTTTTCTTTCTGTCAGAAAGTCCCAAACACACCTGGATGATGTCATCCTTCGCTCTGCAAACCTTCTCGGGTTCTGCTTTTTCCCACCAGACCTGCAGGAACCCACCGGAGCTGCAGGAACCCACCGGGGCTGCAGGAACCCACCAGAGCTGCAGGAGCCCACCAGAGCTGCAGGAACCCACCGGAGCTGCAGGAACCCACCGGGGCTGCAGGAACCCACCAGGGCTGCAGGAACCCACCAGAGCTGCAGGAACCCACCAGAGCTGCAGGAACCCACCGGAGCTGCAGGAACCCACCAGGAACCCACCAGAGCTGCA